ACGGTCAAGGGGCGAGGCGCAGGTTCTGACGTCTATCGCGGCGCCGCTGGGCCGAGACCTGCTGCCCCCTGGTGGGCGCGTGCGGCACTGCTTCTTGAAAGCCTGTATTCACAGCGCATGGCCAGATATGTCATCTTAACAAAATCATGAATGGATTATCTCCACACATCACATGAGGAAACACACCCATTGAGAACAAGAGGGTTCCTCCTTATCACCCAGTCTGTAAGAGGCAAAGCAAGAACTAGAACAACCTCGTCTTCCAACCCTGGTGCCCTGCAGTTTCCAATTCGTGGTGCTGGGTGCTAGGTGCTAGGTGCTAGGTGCTAGGTGCTAGGGCTGGCGGGAGAACACGGTCTCGTGGTTCACGATGCTTCTGATCAGACTGGAAAACACAGACACACGAGGAAAGTTAAATTTGAGGGGGTGAGGCAGGTGTGTGTCTTTATCGCACTTGTAGTTAAAGTAGATACTTAATGAATACGTGTAAAATAAATTCATGTACTAGCAAAAGAATGTTATAGGGCAATACAAGAAACCCACTAGGTGAATGAGTGTCAGATGGGGGAACAATGGCTGGAAATGTCTTCCAGAGGAATTAATGGAAGTAAATAAGCTGTTAATCATAATTGCTATAGAACTTATGCCATGCCTGCTTTCTATTATGTGGTTTACATAGATTATCTCATTTGGCCTGTAAGAGCATGTTATTTTCTTTTTTGGGGGGAAGGAAGAGGGAGAGAGAGATGGAAACACCAATGATGAGAGAGAATCATTGATTGGCTGCCTCCTGCACACCCCCCACTGGGGATCGAACCCCCAACCTGGGCATGTGCCCTTGACCAGAATCCAACTTAGGACCCTTTAGTCCGCAGGTCGATGCTCTATCCACTGAGCCAAACTGGCTAGGGCAGAACATGTTATTTTCATCATCCTGTTTTTACAAAAGAGTTCACACAGGTTAAGCATCTTGTTCAGCATCACATGGCTAGGAAGTAGTTGTGCTGGGATTTGAGTCCAGGCAGTTTAATTGCAGAGCCCGCACTCTTAACTATCCTAGTGTTGTATTTTTTAATTTTTTTAAATTGATTTCAGAGAAAGGAAGGGAGAGGGAGAGAAAGATAGAATCATCAGTGATGAGAATCATGGATCAGCTGCCTCCTGCACAACCCATACTGGAAATTGAGCCCGAAACCCCAGGAATGTGCCCTGATTTGGAGTCTGACCGTGATCTCCTGATTCATGGGTCAACGCTCAACCACTGAGCCACACCAACCAGGCATATCCCAGTGTTTTTCCAACTTGGTTGTATATGGCAAATACCTGGATCTCATAACTAGGTTTACTTGGTTTGGATGTGGTCTGGGCAGCTGGAAGTTTTAAAGCTCCCCATATGATTATACTAGTAATGTGCAGCCAAGTTTGACAACCACTAACAACTACACTACAACAAGCCCTTCAAATGGCACCAGGTTAAATTCTTCCATCCTCAGTCAAGATGGAAAGCACAGAGAATCTACCCTATGTTTAAAAATCTTCAAACAGGAGATGGCATAATCTCAGGAAACTCTCATTTTCAGTTCTCCCTATCCCTCCCCCCTCCAAAAAACAAAAACAAAAACGAAACACCTTACATAAACATTCTCTTTATAAAACCACATATCAGCTTACTTATCTTCATTTAGAGATCATTATTATGATCATTCACCCTCTTATTTGCTAGACTTCTGAGAAAACAGAGGACTTTTATCCTGTGTTAAAACCCCTGGAGGAGCTTTAATGTAAGACAAGAAAGAACATTTTCTATGTGTTACATAATTCAAAGATTATCTGTGTACTGGGAAATAATAACCAATTTAATAATTTCAGGCTATAATGCATTTCCATTCTAAATAAATAGCTGACTAAAGTCAAACCAAATAGGAATTACTTTCTGAAGTAATCTTTAAGTGAAGAAATACATTCAGGACACCATAAGTGTAATATTTTTAGAACTAATGTCTATTAGAAATATAATGAGAGCCACATATATAATATTAAATTTTCTAGTAGTCACATTTTATTTTATTTTTGTCATTTCTTTAATATACAACTTTATTTTTGGTTATAGAAACAAATGCTAAGCCCTAACCAGTTTGGCTGAGTGGATAGAGTGTCGGCCTGGGGACTCAAGGGTCCCAGGTTCGATTCCAGTCAAAGGCATGTACCTTGGTTGCGGGCACATCCCCAGTAGGGAGTGTGCAGGAGGCAGCTGATCGATGTTTCTCTCTCATCAATGTTTCTAACTCTCTATCCCTCACCTTCCTCTCTGTAAAATCAATAAAATATATAAAATAAATAAATTAAAAAAATCAGATCATCTTTAGTTTTTTTTAAAAAAAAAAAAGAAAGAAAGAAATGCTAAGAGGAGAAACAGTACTTCCCCATCCATATACAATCCTATATAATAAAAGCCTAGGTGGCGTCACACCCTTTCGCGACGCGACATATTTGCGCAACATTGTCACAAGATGGCCACATGTACAGGGGAGGTGGGGCCAGGTGGGTGGTGAGGCCTGAGGGTCCCATGGCTCAGTGTGGCACGGAGGAGGCAGGTTCCGGCGGAGGAGGCAGGTCGCGGCAGGGGAGGGCAGTTGTGGGTGATCAGGCTGGCAGGGGAGGGCAGTTGGGGGCGATCAGGCCGGCAGGGGAGCAGTTAGACGTCAATCAGGCTGGCAGGGGAGCGGTTAGGGGCAACCAGGCAGTCAGGCAGGTGAGTGGTTAGGAGCCAGTGATCCCGGATTGTGAGAGGGATGTCCAACTGTCGGATTGGTCCTAAACCGGCAGTCAGACATCCCATGAGGGGTCGCAGATTGGAGAGGGTGCAGGCTGGGTTGAGAAACACCCCCCGCCCATGCACGAATTTCATGCACAGGGCCTCTAGTCTATACTAATAAAAGCCTATGTTGTCATCACACCCTCACACCATGATGCCCTCATGCTGCAACAAGCGATCACCAGGAGGCTGCGTGCACAGCGGGCTCGTGTGGGTGGGCAGGGACTTGATGCTGCGTCCCCGAAGGGACTTGACCAGGAGATGCATCGTGGGAGCGGATGGTGGCTGCCGCTGCCCAGGGCCAGCCCGAGGCTCAGGCAAGCCGTGGAGGGTGGCTGCCACTGGGAGGGCCCAAGGCTCAGGCAACGAGGGCTGGGCCGAGGTTCAGGCAAGCTGCAGTGGCTGCGAGGGCTGAGGCTCAGGCAGCTTCACGGCTGGCAGTGGCAGTAGCAGAGGCGTGATGGGGGCATCACCTTCCCCTGATTGTCGGGTTGCCTCCTGCAGAGGGAGGCCAGAGGCAGCAGCAGCCAGGGGGTGATGGGGGCAGTGCCTTTCCCTGATCGGCCGGTTGCCTCCCACAGAGAGAGGCCAGACTACAGCTTAGGCCCACTCCCCATAAGCCGTCAGTAGGACATCCCCCGAGGGCTCCTGAACTGTGAGAGGGGGCAGGCCGGGATGAGGGACTCCACTGGGCCTCTGGTTTAATAGATAAAAGAACAGTTACAATAACAGAAAAACAAAATGTAGAAATTTTAAACTTTGTCATAGCTTTAAAACATTAATGTCTGATACAATTAGAAACCACATTCATTTCTCAAACCTTAAATAAAAAGTATGGTTCCTTATTTAAAAAGTACTGTATCCCATTAGAAATGGAAAGGCAGGTCAGTGCAGCCGCAGGGGTCCCTCTCCCGATGGTGGGCCCACCACGGTGGGCATCTGCGAACTGCCCTGGGCTCCCCAGGCCAGACTTCACTCACAGGCAGTGACATTGCAACATGACCTCCACTTCACAACCCAGGCTTAGACCTTAATTTTCACTTTGTAGGATACCACTGCTTTTGAAGCACTGATTACACATTTTCATTTTTTTTTAAAATTGATTTTATAGAGAGAGGAAGGGAGAGGGAGAGAGATAGAAACATCGATGAGAGAGAATCATCAATTGGCTGCCTCCTGCATGCCCCGCACCAGGGATGGAGCAGGCAACCTGGGCATATGCCCTGACCCGGAATTGACCTGGCGACCTCTTGGTGCACAGGATGGTGCTCAATCAGCTGGGGCACTCCAGCTGGGACCCAGTATCCACATCTATATATATAAAAAAGCCCAGCGACTGGAATGGTGGAACGACCAGAATGACCAAAATGACTGGTGGCTATGATGCTCACTGGGCAGCCAACCAGCCTGATCCAGGCCCCGATCGGCACCCCACCCATATACAAATTCATGCACCTTTTTAAAAAAATAAAAGGAGCAGGCTGGGAGAGGTCAATGGGGGGGAAAGGAGACATATGTAATATTTTCAACAATAAAGAATTAAGAATAAATAAAAAATAAAAATAAAAAGAGCATAGCTGTTGTGACTCATTGGTTGAGGATTGACTTATGAACCATGATGTCACAGTTTTATTCCTGTCAGGGCACATGCCTGGGTTGCAGCCTTGATCCTCAGTGTGGGGGTGCAGCCAATCAATGATTCTCTCTCATCATTGATGTTTCTATCTCTCCCTCTTTCTTCTTCTCTGAAATCAATAAAAATATAAATATTAAAAAAATTAAAAATAAAAAGAAACTAGTGAAGTTAATTTA